CTTTTGTCATTATGGTCAAATATGTATACAGTATCTTTATAAATTTAAATCTATAGCTATTATTATATTTAATATAATCAATGCATTCTTAAAATTTGGTATACTGAAACCTAAATGAATTAATAAGTTTTAATATTCTACGGTTGATAACAAACAGTGTACAGTGTACATGTACATGTATAGTATCAGCATGGAGTACATGTACATTTATGTTTATTGCATTTACATGTAAATGTTGCTACATGTACAGTGTGCAAGTGTAATATTTATTGGCTCAATTGTATGTACATGTATGACTATAATATACATGTGGAGGTTTACCAATTCACTGGTATATACTGTACATGTATTCTCTTAACTCTTATTGACTCACAGATTGATAAAGGAGTGTACATATCAAGGAAGCTATTGTTTGCTGGTATGCTGTTGAGAGTCAGTGGATTGTGGACTAAAGGGGAAACTGTCAAGAGTGGAGTGCATGGTGACTATTTTCCTTACCTATTTGTTATACATTATTCTATGTTGCTATGATTCACATTCTTTCTACAAATAAATGTATAATTCTTTCTCTTTGTCTCTGTCTCTCTCCCTCTCTCTCCACTCTCTCCCTCTTTTAGGTGTGATTCCTCAGATGAACTCTGTAAAAGGTGTGAGACCATTAATTGAGAGATACAGGACTCACAACAGTTCAAGGACTTCTACCAGTTTGCATTTAATGTTGCCAAAAACTCGGGCAAAAAGGACTAGGCTAGTGACATAATATTATACATGTACATGTAAACTAATGGCAGTATGTCCCTTTTATTGTAATCTATAATCTTTATTTTATTTTCAGACGTTCATTGATTCTCGTCATGGTTCTTAGTTATTTTTTTCCGGTAAAGTGGACCCTTTCTTTTCAACAGTTATTTCATCAGCTGCTCTTGAGAGGAGACTAAAAGATGAACTGGGTAACACTAGGACTACTGGACCCTCCTCAAGTAAGCAATCACGTTAAATAATAATAAATGAAATACAATTAACATGACTGTACATACCCATATACAATTAACATGCTATTATTACTGTAATAATGTTCTTCTTCTTTGTTCCTGTTAGTCACAGAGGGACAGTTCTGATGATGAAGATGAGGTTATTAAAGAATTAGTGAAAGCACAAAATGAGCTGAAAGTTGTTGTAAGTTTGTGATGAAATTATCTTCCATTTCTTCATTACCTTATACCATATACAATGTACTTTAATTGTGTGTGTATCTTCTTTAATCTTGTTCTATAGCATGAATACAATCAGCAGCAGAAGAGGATGCTTCAGTTCATTCATTAGCTAAGTCTGAGATAAGACATCAGGAGATTAGGAAGCAGCTCCAAGAAACTGACCAAGAGGTCATGGAATGGCTAAGAGTGTTCTCAGTAAGTATATGATATCATGATTTGTTACTAAAGGAATTCCTTCAGAAAAATTTTGAGCTACCTTAAGGTTACTTTTAAATGCGGGTACTATTAATTGCAAATTTTGCGTTTGGGTTAAAAATCGCAATTATTAATACGTGCAATTATTAATAATGACATTATGATGCCATATAACTATTAGTAATAACTACCTAATCACAATTTTTAATACGAGCAAAATCTACCTTGTGCTAAAATTGCAAAATTTAGTACCCTAAGATAGTATTAGATTAGAATAGACTTTATAGTCAGAATATTTTACTCGTTATAATTATTTTAAAATAATCATAATTATTATACCTGATTGTATTGTTGTAGTGTTATAGGTAGAGGAAGAAGAAGGAGCCAATCAAGCAGAAGGAAAGAGAGAGTGCTCAGATGTGTCTTGATAAAAGACAAAGGCTGTCCCAACACTTGCTAGTTTGATTTTAGTTTATGTGATATATGCAACTCAATCATAACTCATGGTATCATTAGTAGTTAAACAGGTACTGAAAGATACTAACATATGGTTTATTTGGTATAGTTATGTGTAAAGTGTCATTTGTTGTTATATAAGTAGCTCAAGTACAATAAGCAAGAACATAAAAAATTAAAAAAAAAACAAGA